AGCTGCATGCACTCCGGTGCGTCATGCAAAGTAGAGCTTCCCAGCAAAGCACTGAAAAGTTGTGTCGGGTAGCCAATCCTGAACCGTTCAAGCAATTGGTAATGGCACGCTCCAGCTCGGGATACGAGGGTAAACAGCAGTGTTCGCATGTTCTTGGCCAATGCGGATTTCGGCAAAGCTTTCGGAATCGACGTGAACACAGATCTCAAAGAGTCGAAGAATCGGAGACTCGATTTTCCTGCCAACTCTTCGAGCACCCGGTAACACCGAACATTGGCATTCTGGGTGCTGTGGGTCTTGTCGAAGGCTTCGGAGGAAACCCAGAAGCAGTGATACAGTGTCTCCATGCATGCCTGCAAAACTGGCCGAAACAAGGCCAGTGCGCCGCCAGGGTGCATCCGAGCAAAATGCCCAGCCTTCTTCTTCATGGCATGATTGAATTCACTCCAATCCATGGCTGCTGTAGGCTCTGGGACCTGCTCCGCCTCACCCGCTGACTGTTGCATGTGCTGCTGAGCTGGCTGCACACCCACACTGACCAACGCAAGGCAAAAGTCGTCCCAGGAGGCTGTATCAGAGGCAGCTTGGGCATCTGACGGTCGAGGCTCTCCGGGCATGTCCGCCCAGCGGGGCACAACCTTCCAGGCAAAAGCTCTTTGAGGCTTGAAAGCTTTAAAGCTCTAGGGCTCAATAGTCCATTCAATAATCCTTACAGGATCTAAAACATAATTTGAATTGCCATAAAGCATAATAATTTTCATTGTAATAGCCACTACAATGTCACTACAATCACTACAAATCTATGTAAGCCCTTTGCAACTCCGGAACCTCGCTCAAAAGGTCAAAAGACAACGCGAGCAACAATACCCAGTCGACAGCTCTGTCAGCACCCGTCCAGCGGCTCCTTGGGAACACAGGACATCTGTGTGGCAGCAAGGCGGGAACCAGTTGTTCGCGTATCTCTGTGCGCAAATCCTCCGGAGAGCATTGCACAGGTGTGACGTACTGGATTCTCCGAAGCCGTAAGTCGCTGCTCCTGAAAAAGCTGGATAGAATCAGTCTTTGCTTTCTTCGTAGCCGAGCTGTGGTCATGCCATCGTCCCCCTGGTCGGTTGTATCGCCCAAGCACAAGTCCAAGACCGCATCTCGATAGGCGGCGGCATCGGGATCTTCATCAGGCGGCTCGCCCACGACGATGTCCAAGCGAGAGATGAGCACATCTGTGAGGACGTCTCGCATTCTCGATGTGGACCCCGCCATCTGCATCCCGACTGACAGTGCGATAATGCCTGTGACAAAGGAGTCCACAAGCAAAGAGCACTGTGACTGCACCTGTGCCAGCTTGTGTGCCTTGCAGAAAGCGTGAGATCTTTTGCAGGAAGGATCCAGGAGTTGCATGCCACACTCCGCCTTGACGTTGGGGCCGGCTCGATGCGTGCAGATAAGTTGCAGATTGAGCGTCGACTCACGACAGAGCCGAAGCAGCTCAGGCACACTTTGCTCCAGGTCCCGCTGGCATTGCAGGAGTGTCTCGGCCGTGCACGCATCCAGAGACACCAGAATCGTAGGCATGCAACACTTGACGAACATATACTCATGCTCCTCAATGTGGTCGTCTCTGCCTCTCCGAAGCAAGATGCCCACAGACAGCTCGCTTTGGAGGATTTTGGACGGTGACGAAGAAGTGTCTTCTTCAGCCTTAGTCGATCTGGATTGCCGAAGCTTCGTAGGTGTCTCATCATAGCGACGTTTCCGGATGACCATGCATATTCGAAGCTGTTGAGCGGGATCGAGGAGTTGCGAAACCAAGTTGCCGAACATGACTTGAGATCCTAGGCACACACCGGACGCTGATCTCAACGTCAAGACCTTGAGATTTCGCCTTTCGTTGTCCCAACTGGCAGCCTGTGCCGTGAAGGACAAGCCCGGAGATAGTTGAAGTAGATGACGACCCACGAAAGATTTGACATCGGCATCTGCCTCTTCACCTGTTTTGAGCTTCTCCAGCACGTTCAACATCAGCTGCTTGTGCAACTCGGTCCCTAAACTGCGATACTGCCATAGCTGGCTCGCTTCGGAAGCTCCCTCTGCCGGCTGGACTTGACTTTCAAGTCTCTGCTTTTTGACCCGTCTCGCTGATGCTGCCCTGGCGGCCGGAGAGGGCGGCGCAAGTGCCGCAGCTGATCTCGCAGCCAGGAGGGCTTTCAAATCACGTCGGTAGGCATGACTGCCACCAGTGCCCACTGGCCTGCCGGCTTTCTTCTGAGCCGGAGTGGAGCCTTCTGCCATCCAGCAACATCTGGCGAGTCTAGCAGTCTAGCAGCATTTGGGCATCCTGTGAGGCTCTGTGCCTGCTCAAGGAAGCAGCAGCCATTTTCTCAGTCCGAACACCCAGGACTTTCCCATTGCATTCCACCACGCAGCTACCGGGCCTACCAGATACAAGAGCTCTTTCAAAATCGGTGCTGCTGCTACCTATCTGGCTGCTGCTGCTATCTGCTGTCCAAGCTGTCTACTGCTATCACTTCATCCACTTACCCAAGCAAGTCTGCAACTCTCGCAAGTTGACATGGGTTTTGCAGATTGTCCGAATCTGTTTTTTTGGCTCCGTCTAACGTCCAACGGCACAGCCAGAGCAGCCATGTGAAATCCATGAACGTAACAAGACCTGTTTGGAGGCAACCATATGAAGATGTCTTGAACTTGCCTTAACATCATTTCAAGGATCCCAACTAGACCTGTTGACAAAATCAGGCCAACATGACATCAACCCATTTAGTTACTTAGTTTCGAATAATTCGGTTAGTTTCGAGGCACACTCCAAGACATTCTAGCTAGCAGACTCTTTCAGTCTGACAGGCACACAGTCCCATATTCAAATATGTGGAACCGCTACACTGTTCTATACCACACTGCTACACCCACGGGCCACAGAGGCAGATCACACATCGGTGCTGTTGTGACAGGGTGAAGGTTGCGGGGCTTGTGGCTTAAGCCATGCCATGCTTGACATGACAAACAAAGACGATGACCCGATATTCTTGCCGCCTGCAAACCCGTACTGTTACTATCCAGTCCGCTTGCTACCGGTACCGTTGTTCATAGTCGCTCGCTGCCGGCAGCTAGCATACTAACTGTCACTAACTTGTTATCTTATCTCGTGCACGGGTTGAAAACAACTTGAATCTTGAACTTGCACAAACGGGGGTCCTCTTCCTGGAAATGGTCATCCAATCCGCCATGTCCATCCTCTGCACCGAATGACGGTAGCCAGTGGCCAGGTTGGCCTGACCCAAAGCTTCCATGAACCTGGCACAGAAAACAAATATCAGCTGGGAGGTCACTCAATCCACCTAGGACCTAGGACCTATCCTGGTGATAGCAGCTTGAATCGAGGTAGCCAATAGCCGACCGGGTAAGCATAGTAAACGGAAAACAAAGAACCGTGATCACTTTACAAGACTCTCCGCTGACGGCCCGCCTCATGAAGGGTGTGGGATCACCACGACGGTCCGAAGCATCCGGCATGTCAAAGCCAGGAACTTGTTCGAAACAGACCGTCACGGGTGTGAAGCGCTCCAAGAAATCAATTGCATCTTCGAATGTTACGGAGTATGCTGCATGGCCCTGCACTGAGTCAGGTTTGAAACGCTTGGCACGTTGCCTGCTGAAGGGAGGGCAAGGCGTCCCCAAACAAGCAAAGGCAGTGTCGCTCTCAGAAACACAAGATTCCGCATGATGATGTCGGTGGCAGGCTGTTCCGTCTATTTGATCTCGGATGGTCGAGTGGGCGTGGTAGATCCCCGCATGGTTATGGAGACAAAACTCCCGAACCTCCGTGTTGGGCTCGGAGATGCTTGCAACACTGTAGGGGATGCCGAGCTCCTCTCCAGCAACTTCGTACTAGTAACTAGTCACACCGGGCTCATGCCAACCAACTGCTTGTGCGACAACAAGACCTGGGACCTAAGACCTAAGAGGCGTTCGGCAAATTAGCATGGTGCGAGGCTGCGAGGCTATTATAACGAAGAAGGATGATGGGGGCCCAACACTAACACTGGGTGGCGTGCCAGCACCCCACAACCCTCATCCCCCACCCCGCAGTCACAGTGCTGCCACCTCACCCCGCCAGCACCCCACAACCCTCATCCCCCACCCCGCAGTCACTTGTGCAGTGCTGCCACCTCACCCCACCACCCCTCCCCGTAGCACCCTTCTCAGCACTTCCCCCTCCTTGATTGTTTCGGGGTGTCCGAGGCCTGGAATCACTGATCGTGGCACCTCCTCAAAGCAACGGAACTTCCTCTGATTTGATACTTTGCAATGCACTTGCACGGAATGTCTGTGAAACTCGGGGCTTCGGCACTAGCCCTAATTAGGTTCTCAGCTTGACAACGAAATCTGAAGCAGCGACATAATCCTTCCTAGGCCTGGGCCAAGGCTTACGAATTGAAATGTCGGGGAGTGACAAACAACGCGCGGGACCCTGGCCCTAGCCCTAGCCCTAGCAACCTAGTAACCCCCAGGCCCTAAAGGATGGTGCTGCATTAAATCGCTGAATGCCAATGCACTGCGGAGCCAGCTCATCATATCACCGTGTCCGAAGGAGTCGTGTCCGACCTGGGCATAAGATTGCACATGATTTCATGATCAGCATCAGCAGTTTGGCGAAAAGTCCCACGCTCTGCTCTGTCTATCGAGTCTACTCGATGCGACTGATGTACATGGTACACAATGTCACAATGAGTAATTGAGTAATTAGGCCCTAATTAGGCATTAGGCCTCATAATCAATTGACTCTACATTCTACCTTCTACATTGGCTCTGCACTCGGCGCTGCTCAGCTCTACATCTCCAAGTCATGTCGCAGCTGCTACTGATGATCTAATAATCTAATGTGGAATAATGTAGGCAGTGTGAAGAACTTGGACTCAGCTGATGTCGACCCCCGAAGCAACCCTCTGTTTTTCTGTGTTACACACCGACATGTAGGACGTGTAGGATGATCGCAGTACCTGGCCGGGCCACACCAACGAAGGCCGAGACATAGACACACAGAGACGGAGAGAGAGAGAGAGAGAGAGAGAGAGAGCGAGCAAGTGAGCGAGCGAGGTAAGGGAGGGCGGGAGAGAGAAGGAGAGAGAGAGAGAGAGAGAGAGAGAGAAAGCCAGAGCTGAGCCCGTCCTAACACTCATGCTCATGCTGGCAAGCATACATCGTTAAACCGTTGAATCGTTGAACACAAAGCCCACTGAAACCGAAATTCCATCGCCCTGACCCCGAAACCCCTCAAACATTGGCAGCCGGCAGCCTCCACGGAGAAACCAACGAACGAGGTGCACCTGCAGGTTTGGGGCTCAACACAGTCAAGAAAACGTGATACA